CCGAAGAGCGCACTTACACGGCCGCGGGACCTGCGGCGCAGGGACAGCGCAAGACAGCCCCTAATCAATCTCCAGACATCCTTAAGACGACTCCAAGACTGTCACCTCGGCCCAAGATCCCGCACCCCCCGAAGGCGGCCACAATATCACCCAAACGACCTCCAAAAGTACCCGAGGGCCTCCCAAGAAGCCCCGCGCAGGTGACCGCGACAATCGTGCGGCGAAGCCGAGCACCCTGGCCACATTCCCGAGCGTGGCAGACATGCGCAACAGTCCAGATGGATAACTTCAAACCAGGTGATCACATGCGCTGCCCTTTCCTCGCCCTCCCCTCCTCCTCCCCCCCTCCCAGGCATCGGGAGGCACAGGCGGGAGAGGGGATTAGAGGCCTCGTCCTCCTCCTCCTCCTCCTCCTCCTCGTCCTCCTCGTCCTCCTCGTCCTCCTCGTCCTCCTCGTCCTCCTCGACCTCCTCCTCCTCCTCCTCCTCCTCCTCCTCCTCCTCCTCCTCCTCCCCTCGCCCTCGCCCCCTCCTCCTCCCTCTCGCTCCTCGCCCCTGCCCCGCGCCCCTGCCCATCGCCCCCCCCCCTTCCCTCTTGGCCCCGCCGTGTGTGTGCTGCGATCCGGGTGGTGCAACCGACGACTGCGCAGACCCTTTCCGCGAGCCCAGCTACTTGTTCGACTGCGATCAATCGATCGAGGGAGGAGGAGGAGGAGGAGGGGAGGAGGAGGAGGAGGAGGAGGGAGGAGGAGGAGGAGAAGGAGGAGGAGGAGGAGGGGGGGCGAGGAGGAGGAGGATGGGGGAACGCGAGGACCAGGAACCTCAAGAAATGAATGGGAAGGAGGAAGAGGAGAGCACAAGAGGAGTGAGGGAAGGAGAGGAGGACGGACAACGAACGGAATGATCCTATTCGCTGGGAGCGTGCGCGACAGGCACCCTAATCTTCCCTCCTCCTCCTCCTCCTCCTCCTCCCTCCTCCTCCTCCTCCTCCTCCTCCCCCTCCTCCTCCTTCTCCTCCTCCTCCTCCTCCTCCTCCTCACGCGCGTATGGCAATGCTGATGCTGCTTTTCTGCACTCACTGCCCACTGATCGGCATCCGCTCCGACAAGACCAATAATAATGCGGCATGCATTCGATGTCGGCCTAAACCCTTCCAGCACATTACCGTAAGCTATGTGCAGCACGCGGAGAGTGAACAAGAGGATTCTGGGAGACCAATATGCATATCGGGAGTGGGTTCGGAAATCCCCCCATGCCTCTGGGTGTAGGTGGTCTAGAGCATGAACTCTTCCCAAACATCCAACCACTTTCCTGCCGAGAGGAATTCACCCTGAGGCGGACGACCAGACGAGCAAGGGAAACCATGGGAGCATGAGGAAAACTAGGAGGATGCGGAAGAGGCAGAGGGTGGGTGGGTGCAGGAGGAGGAACGAGAGGATGAGGAGGATGAGGGGGAGCACGTGGACAAGATGGAGCCGTCGGTTGAGGAGGAGGAGGAGGGGGAGGAGGAGGATGAGGAGTACACAGAACACGATGATGATCATGACGATGACGATGACGATGACGATGAAGATGACGATGACGACGACGATGATGATGATGCTGCGGATGCTGATGATGATGCTGATGATGCTGAATCTGATTATGCTGCTGATTATGATGTAAACGATACTGCTGTTGATGATGACGATGATGGTATGACTGCTGCTGCTTATGATGCTGCTGATGATGTTGATGATGACGACGACGATGCTGATGATGCTGCTGATGATGATGATGACGATGCTGCAGGTGGTGATGATGACGATGATGCTGATGATGAGGATCGTGACGATGATGGTGGTGATGATAATGACGATGATGCTGATGATGAGGATGGTGATGATGCTGCTGCTGCTGGTGAGCAGGAGGCGTAGGAGGATGGAGGAAGAGGAAGCAGTATCGGCGGTGTGGGAGGGGCGGGGACGAGAGAAGAGGCAAACTGGCAACCCGTCTCCTCCGAGGAAGTGCTTGCTGGCCTTGCTTGTGGGGGGCGCCTGTCCCTCGTAGTGGAGAAAGGCCCAAAATTTGCAGGAGTCCACCTTGGAAGGAGGGACGAACCAGGATCAGTCAGTATCCACCTCCTCCTCCTCCTTCTCCTCCCCCTTCACCTCCTTTTCCTCCTCCCTCCTCCTCCCCCTCCTCCTCCTCCTCCTCCTCCAATTCCTCCTCCTCCTCCTCCCCCTCCTCCTCCAAGATCAGTCAGCATCGCGGCGGGAAATCACATGGAATCTAAAGGTGCGTCGGGTCGAGCTCCATTGGCATGGAGTCGAAATCGGATCGGATCGGCTGCGACAAGACGCGCAACAATGCCATGTAAGCATCCGCAAATCGTTCGGGCCGACCATCATCGATACACAATCGGATCGATCGGATCGACATGGACCACCTTCGGAGGAGGGGCACGATCGAGGTTCGAGGTGTTTGGGCGATTTTTGGCCTCCTGGGGCGTTCTCGTCGCCTCTGGATCCGCCTTGGCTGATCTTCTGGTCGGAACGCGACACAATACAGATCCACGGGCTCAATTTTGAGATGGGAGGGCTTGTTTGTCAGGGAGGCCCAGGAATTGCAGAATCCACCTTGGGCATGTGCGGCGCGGGGGCCTTCTCCAAGAAGCAAGCCAAATCGTACGTCGCAGTCATCAAATAATTGCCTGGCTCCTGATCTGCACAGACGACCACGTCCGCGCGCTCGCCGGCATGGAGATTGAACTGGGTGACGTTCACAGGCACAACGTCGGCGCCATCGACGGCGATCAATGTCATGTTGTGGCCAGCCATGTCGATCAAGAAATTCTGCGTCTGTTCAATCATTTAAAGTGGGCGAGAAAGGAGCGGAGATCCCATCGACCAAACAACTCAATGAGGCAAGCGTGAGCCGTCAAACCTGTCCCTCAAAGCGTGCAGCCGAAGCTATGTGAGGCCCGTGGCAGACGGAGCGGGCAGCGCGGTGACCAACATCGGCCCAAGAGGAGGGAGGAGGAGGAGGCGCAGAAGGCCAGAACAAAAAAACGCATGTCTGGACCTGGAAGCCCTGAATCTCCAAACGTTGTCATCTCGCAGGAGCGCTTTGTCTGCTCACTTCCACTGGCTTTTGCCGGCCTTCCGCCAGCGGAGCCGCCGCCGTTCTCGCTGGCTTCCGTCCGCCCCTCCCGCCGAAGCAGAGAAGTTTACCCCTCGACCCCTCGGAGGCGACGGGCCCTTCTGGAACCGCGTCCTCTGAGCACAAGCTTGAGGTCGGGCGTGTCCCCCTACAGGCGGATGTTGGACGAAAACTACAAAAGCACCTCCCCCCAAAATCAAAGATAGTCAAACATGGTCAAAAAGAATCGTCCGCAGACTATTTCCGGACTATCTCTGAAACACTCCTCCTGCAGAGGGACAGGCCCGCCTTACCACGAGCTTCCAGATGTCCGCGGCCGGCCCCCGCGCCGGAGAACCGGCCGTCCTCTGCGCGCGCCCCCCGCTCCGGGCGAAGCCTTCAGCGCGGGGGCGGCGCGGAAGGCGCCGTCCAGCAGCGCCGAGGGGAGGGTGCGTGGCGCCGTCAGAGAAGCCGCCCGCGGGCGCCCGAAAGCTTCTCTTTGCGCACGGTGCTTCTTCGTCCCTCCCGAGGGAGGAGGAGGAGGGGCGCCTGCCCCATCATGCCGATGAAGCGGAGGCGGTAGCACCTGCCCTGCTCCACGGTGATCAGTGGCCAGGGGTACTCGTCGGAGCCGTCCCCCCAGACACCGTTCCACGATGCCTCGCCAGCTGCCCAGACCCCTTCTTCTCCCTCTTCTTATTCTTCGTCCTCCTTCTCCTCCTCGTCCTCGTCCTCGTCCCGCTCCTCGTTCTCTTCCGCCTCCCCCTCTCCTCTCCTCTCCTCCTCCTCCTCCTCCTCCTCCTCGTCCTCGTCCTCGTCCTCGTCCTCGTCCTCGTCCTCGTCCTCGTCCTCTTCCTCCTCCTCCTCCTCCTCCTCCTCCTCCTCCTCGTCCTCCTTTTCCTCCTCCTCCTCCTTTTCCTCCCTCCTTTCTTCCCTCCCTTGTTCTCGAGGTGGCTCTGAGTTGTGGCCATTTCATTCGGGTAAGCCTATTTCCCTCAGCCCCCAGCCTTCCGCCCGGCTCGGGCGGCGGTGTCTCTCCCAATACCGCCCCACACTGCGGATCCGGTTCCCCGCCCCCCGCCAGACATAGGCGCCCGCAAGGCTTGTGCAGAGGCTGCGAGATTCTGGGCATCAGCCAGAGGCTGCCCATCGTCTCCGACCCCAGCTGCCCCTCGGGCGTGGGCTGCTTCGAGGACTACCCCTGCCGGTATTCCACCACCGCTCCAAGGCGCCAAGGATCAGCACGAAGTTGCCGATCGCTTACGGTCCCGGCTGCCCCGCAGGCCTGGGCCGAGAGCTACCTGTCTCGCTGCGGCAGCGCGGCCGTGGTACAGAGGGGGGCCGCTTCCAAGCCCAGCCATATGACGGAGAGCATCAACGCCATTTGAGTGGTCATCTTGAGGATACGCCTGTATTGTCCAGACCTCGCCCTGAACGAACCACGGATGATTGTGCCCCTCCTCCTGCTTATCTGTGCGAATTTCGACTCCGCAATTTCGGGCCTGACCGATTCGAGTCGAACGCCTGTCCGGCTACTTTCTTCGTGAGCGTACCGATGTGCCACGCAGCGGCAATCATGTCTCCATGGGCAATCACGCTGCCCATCTCTTTGCCAGCGTTCCCAGTCTGCCCTCGGAGCTTGATAGAAGCTCGCAGGCCTCAGATCGTTGCTCAACCTCACAGGGACACACTCCCCAGCCACTTCGCCTCCCGCCTCCCCCTTTTCCTCCCTCCTCCTCCTCCTCCTCCTCCTCCTCCTCCTCCTCCTCCTCCCTCGCCCTCCCTCCCTCCTCCTCCTCCTCCTCCTCCTCCTCCTCCTCCTCCTCCTCCTCCTCGCCCTCGCCCTCCTCGTGACTCTGTTCTTTCCCCCCCCTTCCCCAGCCACTTCGCCTCTCCCTCCCTGTGTGGGACCGGACCCTGGCCGTGCGAAGCACAGTGCGGCCATCCGCCCTGTCACTGAGGGTACGGGGGGGACCGTAGACTTTTGCGTCGGCGGCCAGGCAGAGGGTGACTGCGCTGGCGATGAATGGCATGAACGGGGGCACCGGGGGGCCGAATCGTGCCACCATGCAGGAAGAGGAGGAGGAGGAGGAGGAGGAGGAGGAGGAGGAGGAGGAGGAGGAGGAGGAGGAGGAGGAGGAGGAGGAGGAGGAGGAGGAGGAGGAGGAGGAGGAGGAGGAGGAGGAGGAGGAGGAGGGAGGAGGGACGCTGCCGAAGGAAGCTGAGTGCAGGGCGTGCGGCTCAGGGGTCAGGGGGGGGGATCGCAGACGAGGATACCGGGGGAGGGATCTCAGGGAATGTTCTCCGCCGAGCGGGGCGGACACCCGTGCTGCTGCAGCTGCTTTTGGAAGTCTTCTCCACCCTGCGGCTCCGCGAGGAGCCCCAGGGGGCGCTGCGGCTCCCGACGCTCCCTCCTGCCGAGTCGAACCGATCCGATCCTTCTCCTCGTCGTCCTCCTCGTCGTTCTCCCCCTCCTCCCCCTCCTTCTCCTCCTCCTCCTCCTCCTTCTCCTCCTCCTCCCTCTTGTCCTCTTCCTCCTCTTCCTTCTTCTCGTCCTACTCCCTTCCTCCTCGTCCTTCTCCTCTTCCGCCCTCCCTGCCTCCCCTCCTCCCCCCTCTCTCTGCCGCGGGTGCGGCCTGCGGCTCGGCCAATCCCCCCCCTCTGGCGGCCCAGCCCCCGCAAGCTCATCCACAACCCCAGGACCCCCACGCGCATCGGGAGCTGGTTTTAGCTCGGGCGTGTCCCTCTACAGTCGGATTTTTGGACGACCAATAGGAAATACCCCAAACATGCAAACCAAAATGCTCAACAATGATCAAACACTCGTCCCCACATTATTTCCCAACCATCCTGTGGTGTTGGGTCCTCGTTTTGAAGAGACAGCGCCCCGCGTCCCTCCTCCTCCTGCTCCTCCTCTTCCTCCTCCTCCTCCTCCTCCTCCTCCTCCTCTCCTCCTCTCCTCCTCGTCCCCCTCCTCCCTCCTCCCCATTCTTCCCTGCGTTTTATCCACTCAGTACGACGTTTCGTGGCCCCATAGGGAGCTCCACCGAACGCTCCAGTGGGACCGCCCGTATGCGTCATCCACCACCAGTGCAGCGCTTCGTGGCCCCGTAGGGAGCTCCACCGGAGGCTCCAGTGGGACCCCCCGCATGCGTCATCCACCACCCAGTTCAGCGTTCCGTGGCCCCATAGGGAACTCCACCGAAGGCCCCAGTGGGACCGCCCGCATGCGTCATCCACCACCCAGTTCAGCGTTTCGTGGTCCCATGCGGAGCTCCACCGAAGGCCCCAGGGGGACCGCCCGCGTGCGTCATTCCCCACCCAACACAACATTTCGTAGCTCCATAGGGAACTCCGCCGAAGGCTCCAGTGGGACCGCCCGCATACGTCATCCGCCACCCACTACAGCGTTTCGTGGCCCCATAGGGAGCTCCACCGAAAGCTCCAGTGGGACCGCCCGCGTGCGTCATCCACCACCCAGTACAGCTGGCCAGTTGAAAGGGGCTCCACCGAAGGATCCAGTGGGACCGCCCGCGTGCGTCACCCACCACCCAGTACAGCGTTTCGTGGCACCATAGGAGCTCCACCGAAAGCCCCAGTGGGACCGCCCGCATGCGTCATCCCACACCCAGCACAGCATTTCGTAGCTCCAGAGGGAGCTCCACCGAAGGCTCCAGTGGGACCGCCCGAATGCGTCATCCGCCACCCGGAGGCCCCCGTGGGACCGCCCGCATGCGTCATCCACCGCCCAGTACAGCGTTTCGTGTCCCCACATCGAACTGCACCGAAGGATCCAGTGGGACCGCCCGCGTGCGTCACCCACTACCCAATACAGCGTTTCGTGGCCCCATAGAGGGCTCCGCCGAAGGCCCCAGTGGGACCACCCGCGTGCGTCATCCTCCATCCAGTACAGCGTTTCGTGTCCCCACAGGGAGCTCCACCTAAGGTCTCCCTGGCGGAACATGCATGGTGGCCCAATGGCGGAATTCGCATGGCGGCGACTTCCGGTTTTCGGAAGTTTTTCGTCGTATTCGACGCATTGAAGCCGCTTTCGGGCCGCGCATCCCGGGCGGGAGCTAGCCTGCTCGCTCTCTTTGCTCCGCGCAGCGGACGACCCGCGCGCGTCGCCGGGAACCCTTTCGGGGCGACCAGCGCGCGTCGCGGGGACTCCGTGCGGCGCCGCGCTCACAACCTTGGACGTGGGCGTGCTCGGGCAAAAAAGGAGAAGAAGAACGGGAAGGAAGCGGGCGCGATCCTCGTAAGAGGCGTGCCGGCATGGGCGTCGACATTAGTGCACGTAAACTCACGCGCGCGCAGACTCATCCACAATCATATTCACTCGCTCTCAGTTTCTCGGACACAGACCAATCGTCATCGCTCGCGTTGTGTGCCCCGCCACGCATGTCGGCACGCCCCTCACACGGTTCGTGGCCCCATAGGGAGCGCGGGGTTTAGATGATATGCATACTTGCGGTATTCACAACTGCATATGGTTGGGTCCATCGCCAGGCTAATTTTAAAGCTATTTTTGAATATTCCCCCACTGTAGAGGGACAGGCCCGACGTCATGCTGGTTGCACATGACTCGAGGCCTCTCAGATGGGGTCGGAGTAAATGGGGACGGAGGATCTCGGCCTGAGGCAACTGGAACTCCAGAAACTGGTGGGGGCCCGTCTTACGCACGAACGAAATGGGTGCGGAAAGAATGGGCACAATGCCCAACAACGGTTCCTGTTCATTTTGAACAGGACTCGCTGTCGGTGTCGCCGCGGCCTGTCTACGTTTGAAACAGAAGGCCGCCTGCCCAACAGCGGCTGCTGTTGGTTTGGGACAGCATTTGTTGTTGGGCATTGTGCCCATTTTTTTCCGTATCCATTTCGGGCATCCAAACGTCTGGCCCCCTCGCCCGACCCGCCTGTTCGGGTCTGCCCGCCCGACCCGTCCATTGGTGCTCGGCTGCCGCGGGCCCTCTGGCGGAGCGGTCCGCCAACGAAATAGGCCGCTGGCGGAACGGACCGCCAGCGAAGCAGGCCGCAAGCGCAACGGCCCGCTGGCGAAACCGGCCCCGGCGAAGAGATCCCCCGCGAAGAGGTTCCGACGAAGCGGTCCGCCGGCGAAGAGAGTCTCGTGCCACGGTGAGGAGAGGGGCAACAGAAACACGAGGGGAGGAGAGGACACGGATGATGATTCTTGAGAGCGTGATGATTCTTAAGAGCATGACGATGGTGATAATTTGGGAAGCAGAGGATTGGGCGGGACGCGACAAGCGGCATACGACGGATGAGAAGGATTATGATAATGAAAAGGAGGCGGAAAAACAACTCGTAGGAGGATGTGGAGAAGGGGGAGACTGGGGAATCAACATCCTTCATCCTCAGGTCCCGAATCTCCAGAGTACGACGGAAACCCAATCAATGCGCTACTGTACTCTGAGTGCGTCATATCAATGGTGCCATCTACGTGGTGCAGTGAGTTTTTGCGAGCTCATGAGCTGTCAGCCCTACTGCTCGCGCATTCGTCCCACCCTCCCACCCGCCACGTGGTTTGCGACAACTGTGCAGCGGTGAGTGTAATGACTGTTTGGCCACGCTGCACATCTCTGCGGCCGCACTGGCGCGCGCAAGCTTGCGCGCAGAACGGCCAGTTGGTTTGGCACAGCC